CACCGCTAGCTCGTTACATCCCATGACGCTGAACGAAAGCAGAAAAGGACTTTAATATCTTTTAATGTGCCTCAGTGTGAGCCCATTGCACCAGGCCGTGTGTGGCACTGCACCACTCAACATATGGGACATCAAAAGGTGGGCTTTATACCCCCGTCACTAAAAATCCCACCCCAAAAGCAGCCATTTACGGGACAATAAGAGTCAATTTATGGCCCCCCAGAAAATGAAGGCAATTCGGAGGTGTAGGATGAAAGATGACAAGGGCTTTCTGGAGGCGAGGAGGCGTCAGCTGGTAGATCTGTGTTTCCTCACCACTTTCTCTGATGTGTAGTAGGGAGCAGGGAGCAAGAAGAGTGACACTTTTAAGGGCACTAAAGTGGGGAATAAAGCAACTAGGCTGACAAAGAAGCTTGTTAAGAAATTATTAATTAGCTGATAATTAGCTTTAACATTGTTGGTGTTTGACTAATTTTATGTTGCAGTAAAAATAGAGCACCCACATCTGGACTTGTAGAGACCTTCAAGTTCATGGAAAATGCTCCACAAATTAAACACATTACTAGTATTAAAAAGGAATTAACGCTAAGAATGTTTTTTGATCTATCTTGGCACAAGTCAGTATCTATATATGAAGTTTTCAGATTGTGTATCTGTATGTGTATATAGTAGTACTTGATTGCAGGTAAGACATACTTAAGTAAATGTAAAATTATCACATGACAAATATCTACTTAAGTAAAAATATTAAGGTACCTGTTTGTAAATGTATTTAAAAAGAATAAAGTAAAAGTATTTTGCAGAACTTGAGGTCTAATAAAGAGTCAAATGCAGTGATTTTGATACAGATTATTGCTGAATTTTGTTCAGTAGAAACAACTGAATTGATTATTTTTTGTTTTGTCCTGTTTTTCTTTGTATATTTTTGTATACTCAAATTATGAATGTGTTAAAAATACATTTTATTAACAATAATAAAATATACTTTTATATTTCACTCCAGTTAAAAATGTAGTGGAGTAGAAGGCTGTCAAATATAGTGAAGTAAAAGTAAAAGGTATCCAGTTTAAAATGTACTTAAGAAAAGTACAGACACCAACAATTTTTATTTAAGTGCAGTTATTAACCTTCTTTTACGTTGTTACGTTTCATCACTACCTATGTTATACTTTGGTGAGTAGAAATTTGAGTTATTGTAGAGTAATTACTAGGGAGAGTCATATAAACGTATCGCACTCCAGCGTCGTGATGGTTCTTCTGAAGATACACATATACGTCACAGTGTCTTTCATGTTACTCAGGGCGCAAATATGTTTGCAGTTCTTACTTCAAACCAGCAGCTTCCTCTGACGCAGTGGACGCTTCTCTTTGAGGCGGTGTGGGCATGAATCAGCTCCCGGGATCTGGCCCCATAACACGGGCTCGGGTCTGGAAACAACTTGAGAACGAATCACTGTTTGCTTCTCACCCCTCGTCTCCTCTTTTATTCGCTCGCTTTAATAGTCTGTAATAGTTACCAGTATCATTAAGGCCAACCTCTGCGGCTTCTCACGGCGCTGTAGGCAAGCCAAGTGTTTGTTGTCGGCGTTTTATTGGCTCCCAGGGAGGAAGGTTGTTGTTTTTCAGTGTAATCTTGGCACGCCAATAACAGGTTTCAATAAAAGCAGCTGCGTCCTGATGGAGCTCCTCTCTCCTCCTTCTAAGTTTTTGGAGAAGACGCGTAAGTCTGCAAGCACTCAAGATTATTGTTGCTGTCTACACTTATCCTATTGCGCAGTGTTTACTTTTTAGAGTTTTAATCTTCTTTAAAACAAAAGCTTATTCCATTCTGTCTCAGGGAAATGCGTGTTATCTGTGCGAGGGCAGGTTGGGATTTGATAAAAGTTTAAACTGGACCACACTGCCCCCTTTAGGTCATAGGCTTTGAGTGCAAACGAACTGGAAAGCAACAGAAAAGTACAATTAAGAATATTGTGATTTTAACTTATGAATGATAAAAAATAAATAAATAAAAACCTATTTTTGTTGTTGAGCAATGTAGTGTCTTAAAAATTAAATAACATTTCCATGGAGACAAGCAAGAAGTGGACCCTCTGTCAGAAAGGTTGCATGATACCTTTAAATAGAGAAAAAAAAAACAAGATTTTTTTATTTTTTAAATTATGATTTACATGTTTGAAACTTAAACACTAAAATGTCTTATTTAGAATAGGCCTAGATATACAACCATAAGGGGGAAAAGGTGTGACCAGCGGTTAAGTTCTCAGTGGTCTTCTGGTGGTACATGAGATCCCATTTGTCTTGGCTGAGGAATGGGAATTGCCACTACATTCCAGTTTCCGCAGCAGGCCGGAGAGTTCACGTGTGTTATGCAAAATTAAAACAGGCTCAGATAAACATTATTCAAACTGCACTGGAGCGTGAACCCTCCATGATGTTTGGCTGGCCTCACTTTGGATCACATTACATTGATTCAGCTTTATTCTGTCAATCATTTCATTGTATATTAATATTGCATTATTTTTAGAGTTGATTTAAACAAAACATATGTTATCAAATAATCTTTTTTTTTTATTATTATTATGTGATACAAGTTACACATTTTATCTGCTATTAATCAATATGAGAACATGAGTCATTTTAAAATGGAAAATGTCAGATGACAAAACTAATTTGAATTTTTCACTTTTTACTTCACAGAGCATGATGCTTTATCCTAATTCATCTGACATGATTTTATAGTTTATTGTCGAAGAAATATTCTCTTCTCTTCTCAGCAGTCAAATGGGGCATATACAGGGCAATATGGTACAATGAATTTTAAAATATCTCTTTCAATCTTTAACATTTTCTCTTTCATTTTTGTCTGTCAAATTTGTTTGCTCGTTTTGCATAATTTTCCTTGTCAAAACCTACACGTGTGAACGATCATAAAGAAATCAGATTACTCACATCAGAGTAATTTTCATGACATTTTAATAATGTGATAACAACACAAATCAGATAATGATCAGATGTGTGAATGTAAACATAGCCGATGTCACCATCTCTTATTACTCAAAAAAGTTTATTTAAAATCACAACAATAAGCAGTCAGTGCTTGACACATATCACCATAACTGAGCCCATTACCCTGAGCAGTTTGTTCCCTGAGTGCATTCTGGTCACAGATTTGGTGGAAAACATCTCCTTTTCAGCCAATTACAATTCACTCCATTTCCAGGAAAAACCCATAGTCTTGTAACAGCTGCTCTATGTAAGTCCCGCACCTAGTCACTTCAAACATCATGGGATAAACCCGTTTGACCCTACGAGGTTCCCATAGCTATTATGGATATCAGACTAAATACTGAGAAATTCTCATGTGAGACTCCTCCAATGATTTTGTTGACTAATTTTAAGTGCTACAAAAAAAAAAAAAAAAAAAAGTAAAAGTAGTAGGGCACTGGAAGTAGTATGGGCAGCTATCAGAATTTAAGTAGTAATAGAAGTGCTAATACTAGTAGTATTAAGTACCTTCATTGTTCTTATAGATGGTACACTTATTACGAGATAAATCAATTTGGCCATTCAAGAATTACAAATGATGTAGTAAGCAGACAGTAGTACTAATAGTAGTAGTAGAAGTAATACTTTTGGTGACAGTGGTAGTAGAGCCTTTGTTATACTTGTATTATGTAAGTTCAGTTATTATGAGATAAACCAATTTGTCCAATCTAGACTTGACTTTAGACTATATTATTTTACAGCAGTATCAGTGTAGTGTAGGAAAAGGGATGTGGTCTCTGAAAGTGACTCATGTGTTATGATTAAGATCTTTTGAGGTGTAATTTCTTGTAAAAGTACCCAGAAAAACATAATTAATCCTAACCTTTTATAACCTTTAGCTCGATGTAGAAACGTGTGTGTGTGCTTAAAAACAAACAGTACAGCCCTGACTGTACTAATGGGGTTTTCCAAAGTTGGGAAGCAATGGTTTATATGACAACATAATGGAGATCTGAGCTCCCAAAGGCATGCGGAGGTCATCCATGATTCGTTTGGATAATGAGCCCCATCAGTTAGGCTGTCACTGTGCTCCTCTGAGGGGAGACTCATATTCACACAAGTGAGAGGTCCATAAGCACTAATCCCATGCACCAGTGACCACACTGAGGAAGGAGCACTAAACATATACACGGAGACACGCTGGATGCATTCTGTAGGGTGGAGCAAGCACGGAGGACTGCTTCTTTAGTCACAGTAATATATAGACAATTATTCTGTCAATTCAATATCCTGTTCTTTTTGTTTTACAAGAAATATAGAAATAGAGCTAATGTGCTGGTGTATAGTAGTATTGGTAATATCATATTGATGGACAAAGAAATGATCAAGTGGTTATCCCAGAGAAAATAACAGATAGTCCACTTTTCCAATCAATTTATCATCAAGCATTGATTGATGGATTGACATTATTACTTTGTCAGAAAATCCTACTTGAGTAATACTGGTCACTGTGGTATTAAAGTAGATTTTCCTGAAGCATAAAATGTCCTGAAATGACCTTAAATGCAATGGGTAAAAATTAAAGAATGCAATAATGATTTCATAGAATGCTGGTGCATATCAATGCAAATGTTTCAATTTTTTGGTGACTTAAATTTCTCCACATCAGAAACGCCCCAAAAGAGCCAAAAGTAATCAGTGGTTGGCTGCAATGCAGGACTGTGACTTGTCAAAGGTAATGTAAAATGTGAAAATTCAATAGCCTTGTGGTTCTATTAATTTTATGGAAAATTACACAACATTATAATTACAACGAGGCATAATAACTTAGAAGAATGATTGATGTGTAATGTTTATACGTAGACATAGTAAATCGACAGACAGCTACAATTACAATCAGGAAAGTATTAAAATTACTAACTTATTTAAGTGTCAAGTCAGGACTAGATATAGCAAAATTTATCGAAAATTCATTATCACAAATAAATGTTTTTTTAAATTAAAACAAACAGTATACATTAAGTGCAGTCTAGGACATTTTGTACCCGTGTTCAACCAGGTAGGCTGGCTGAGATTCAGAATCTCTGTTTCTGGGAAGTCCTTGTCCCAGAGGGGATCCTATGTTCCCTATGCAGTACCAGGTTTTCAGTGGTAGGGGAAACTGAAGCTTATAGAAGCTGCAGACATGGGGAGAACATGTACACTCCCCACAGAGAGGTCCCACCTGGTCTGGGAAAAGAATACAAGACATTCTTGCTGTGAGGCATAAGATAGGCCACCATGGTATCCACAGTCCATCCTTTCACTTAGAGATTAAACATAAATAATGTTGCTGATGTGTGAACTGGACCTTTTACAAAATGAAGGCGTATTTGAGTCCACATTGTTGGCTATGAGCAGCCCGGGCACAGTGCCACTTGTCCAGGCGTATATTCTCTGCATGGACACAGCCTCCTGAAGGAGGGGTCAGATCCTGCACAGCTGAACAGGAGAGGCTCTACCTGCAGGTGGCACTGTTGGCCCCAGGGACTGTAGGCTGGAAACAGGTGACTGACCTCTGCCTCCACACTGGAGCAGTTCAGCTCCAGACTATAACACACACCACACCAGTGTAAGCATATAACCATACATAACTTAAAATATGTTCTTCTGTGGGCTCTTACCTGGTGAATGCAGCAGCACTGTTTAAATAATAAAATAATGCAGGTTCACATGTGAGAGAAGAGTGCCGGCACACGTCTGCACAGGATGCACCCAAAGGACTCAGCAGCACCCTTAAGACACTTCTAGGTGGCCATGTTGGAAGTGACTTACTGCAGAAATTCTAAACCAAAAATACAAGTTATCTCATGTATACTACAAGTATTATATTTGTACCACACACTTGGTTTATTTGCATAAAATAAGTAGGACTTAGCCAGAGTCTGAGCTAACAATGTCATATTTGGTTCCTAATGTACCTGATGAGTGATATAAGCCTGAAGCCTCTCCAGCATCCCCTCACAGGTGAACTCTCGAGGAGTGAACGGTTGCACCTGCAAAAACACACAATAAATATGTAGCCTGATTTTCTGGCCTGTAATCATTTAGCTGCATACAAATTGTGGCTCTACCTCTGTACGAAGAATGCCCTTCACTGCTTGCTGTATTTCAGTGCGGTTGTTCACATCTACCGTCCAAACATAAGGTTTTCTAATGAACTCTTCGGCGTAAGGATGCTGGGATGAAATCTATGAAACAAAATTATAGCATGAATAAAATTTGAATTAAATAAAATAAAGTTAAATGCAGATATTGGCCTTACCTTTCTAGTGGTTGGCTTTCCTTTATAAAAGTTGTTGTTTTTGGAGGAGTGTGGAGGGTTGAATTGAGGCTGGATAAAGGCACAGCCCATAGCTATAGCTTCAATAGGAGCTGGGCCTTCATATGGGAACCCCAGACCTACAAAAACCTGATAGAAAACATACTTTTGCAAATAATCACTTGATGTCTTGTATCTGATTAAATAAATGATATTACACCTTGGCTTTATGGAGAAGTTGTACAAAGTTGTCCTGACTCAACAGACCATGGTTCATGACAAAGCTGGGTAACTGGGATGGGATTCCTGGGCGCTTATAGACTGTGGTATGGATTTCAAACTCTTCATTGATTACTTTCACATAATCAGACTTGCCCTAAAAATATTAGCACAAAGGAATCATTCAAATAGCATACATAAAACCAATACAAATACAAACACTAAAATAATGTGTTTTACCTCCCACATGTATTCTTGTTTAGCGTACACAACTGCAACATTGCCCTTCTTATTGGAGTGCATTGCTTCTTTCTTGACTTCACCTTTCAAGGCCTCTTCAGTCACAAAGCCCAGGAAAGAATTATCAGGAGTGTGAGCTGTCAATAAAGTCGGACAAAATGAAAAGAAATGAAGATAATGAAGTGTGGCAGATGAGTACAATTTATACATATGTAAGATAACTGGACAAGGCAGCTGGTCAATGACAAACTGTGCAAAGTGTGGTAGATAAGTATTTATATTAGAGATGCAGGAATGTGTAAGACCTAGGTATTATCAAAATTTAGGAAATGACCACATTGCCCCATTTGTTTCTAAGACCTGCCTGGGAACAGCTGTTTACACTCACAACCAGGTTAGCAAGTCTGGATCAAACAAATTGGTAATTTGGTAAATTGAAAAAAAAAAAGTTAAAAATTTGGAGCAGTGGGTAGATTCAGTCCCAGCTTGGGCTCATCTTGAAACAGTGTAAACTCCCTGACAGGGTGCAAGGTGTTGGTATGGAAGCCCTGTCAGGACAAAGCTATTAATCATTGTGAAAGAAGATTGTGAATATTTTGAGCAAAACATTAACTCTTGTTGTTTAGTTTAGGTTTACCTTGGAATTTCCTGTTCAGTCTATACAACTGCTGTGATTCTAGATGTCAATGAGAAAAATTAAATGGGTGTGCTCGAACTTAGGTTTATGTAAAAATCTAAAGTGACACTTACGGAACATGGTCATATACTGCTGAGGGTGCAGGCCCCAGCTTCCCCATAGGGTTTTGTATTCATGAGTGTGAGCGTAAGACCCCAAGTTAAAGGCTGGTTCTGTGCCGAAGGAATCCAGGATTCTGTATCGACACCTACAATGAAAAAGTTCAACATTACTTACCCGTACTAAGAAAAGTACAGAGAGGTGGGTACCATTCATTACATTTACTAAGCTTTACTCAGCTACATTTACTTAAGTAACTTTTTCATGAAATTGCACTTTTATTCCTTTTTCAAGATTACATTTTACAGTGTACAGTGTATAGTACTCTGAAGTATATGTCTCATATTGTTACAAAGGCTCTTACTGATAATGCCGAAAAGCTATTCCCATTGCTCCCTGCAGATGTGCCAAGCCATGGTAGTCAGTGTAGATAAGGTCAAATGTCAGGGGTCTCTGTATGGGACAGCTGCCTCGGCCTGGAGCAGCACCTATCAGACTGAACACAGACATTTAGCTTTCCCATAATCTCTGGGGAGGCTTCCTTTGCACCCCCAGAGCTGTTCAAACCTGTGCAGGAGGTGCTGGGATGTGGTCAAGGTCACATCATGTCCCAGGATGGTCAAGCTTGCACTCAAATCTGCCCACTGGACCAGCTCTCCCAAAGGTCCCCCTTTCTCTACCATGGCTTCAAAGCGCTGTCCAAGACTCCCAGCCAGAGTACCAGGATACAGCAGCACCTGCAGGCCAAAAGAGGTATTGTAATTTTAAATATATTATTTACTGTATATATTTTTTATATATTTTAGATTTCATGGCCTATTATTTGATACATTATATGATATTTACACACTATGCAATAATTAAAGGAATTAATATTTATATTTATAGACAAAAGTTTAATGCCAATTAATGCTAAATATTAATTGGTAGGTGAACTGCATCCATGCACAATAACACAAATAACAGCAGTCAGCCTGTACCATGAGTTTCTTGGAGACTGTGATGTTGCTCCTCTGGTTCATGCTGAGACCAGCATGGATCCACCTCTGCTCCATCCTCTGAACTCTGGACCGGATGAATCTCAGCCCAGGACTGCTAATATTTGTGATGCTTTCGTACAATGGAGCAAGACTTGTACGTATTTCACCCTGTGGACAGTCTACACTGTTAGAAACATATTAATGTAAAGTAGACATATGTCCATAGTAATACCTTCTCTGAATGTGAGAGTGGTTTGTGATGCCATGCTGGGGGAGAGTGGTTAAGACCAACTTGTGGGGGGCAGAAGTCCTCGGTTTGGCTGAGGTACTTTAGTAAAGAGCAGGTAGAGCCATCAACACCATAAAAGGCATAACATGGGTCTGTCTTCCAGTGTAACCGAAGAAACTGCATGAGTCAATAAATTAACATTGAGATCAATGATATATTTATAGTTTAGTCCCACAATTCAAAGTAACAATATTGTGTAAATTGACTTTGCTGTTAATTAGCTATAGAACTCCTATTCAGACTTTTTCTATATCTTACCTCCATTTTCTCTGCACAGACTGGATAAGTGGGGTCCGATGGCACCTTACAATTTTCATTGGACTCTGTTGATAGACAACATATTTTGTCCTTGAATTTTACTTACAGTATCTTTTTCACATGAAAGAAGAACTATATCACTTTTCTGATGTGGGGTCAGCCACCATGAAGATGTTATGCAATTGTAAAATGTGAAAAACATCCAAAGACATGGAGAGTGGGATCACCTTGCAGATCAAACCTAAACTTGGTCTGATGGAATCTTCTGCTTGTCTCCTACTTAATGTTATACTGTGGAATATTCCAGACAAAGCAATAAAATCTCCATGGAAACAAGTAGGTGGTGGTCTCTTAATCAAAAAATTACAATTACAAAAGTTATTTATAGTAATCCTGAATACTAATAATGTTGTTTTTACCACTCACAATAATATTTTAAACATTAATGGGCAGTTAATATTTTTGTCAGAGACCTTTTACCGTAAGCCCACCTCTAGCTCCATTCATCTGTTTTAACACTACTGCACATACCCCCACACCCACCGAAGCCACACGCCTCTTCCCAAACATCTCCCTTTATAATGGAAGCTTGGGCCAAAGCACACAGGCCCAAACTGTGTAAAACAACCTAGTAAAGTCGGAAGCATGGGAACAGGAAAACACTGGAGGTGTGAACGCAGTGACCAAAAACACACAAGTAACAACAGTGGGGACAAGCTGGTGACAGGGCTTATGGGTAATTCCTGTTTTACAGGCATGAGGTAATATGAGTGGGTGGCAAAGGTGCACTGTGTAACTTTTTTCTGCCTCCAGCCTTCATGAAAATATTATTGCTTATCTTGGAATGTTCCACAGTGTGGCATTACACTTCACTATCTTGCTTGTATTCACCAGTGTTATACTGCTAAAGAAATACTGAAAATCAGACATCCTATTGTGAGCAGGATCGCCTCTTCACTGAGCTGACCAGTGACTTGTTCTATTGGCATCAACTTCTTCCCTTAAGTTCATATGGAGATAGAAATGTTTAATGCCACACTGCAAAACATTCCAGGAAAATATAAACTGAAACTGAAACCAGTTTACATAATGCAAGTTACAGTAACTTTTGATTTATGCATGTATTTTTTATAGGTCCTGTATTAAGCAAAATTGACTCTTGTGATCTTTAAACCATGTTACAATGTTGTTACCTCCTCTAAAAAACATGCCTTGAGTTATATTTTGTTTCATTCACACATGTGAGTAACCCATTATTATTAATCTGTCTACATCTCCAAAGTTCAAAATGCTCTGTTCCACCTTGTGATGTCATCAAGGAGAAGTTTTCAAGATAGCAACTACCTTTTATGTTTTGTTCAGCAGAGATTGGCAATTCCAGGATTGAAATTATCTAAATGATTCCAGTGAGTGTTTAATTTTTGAGAGAAGAACTGATATTAAATATGCAGGGTGTGTGCGTTAAACGTGTGAATGAAACAAAACACAACAGGTATATTTTTTCTGACCTGTGTTATTTTGATTACAACATAAAATAGATGTAAAATGGGCCTTTTAAATCAGTGGAGACCAAAACACACACTCTATCTCTTACTTGACACCTCTCAGAGGTACAGGCGGACTTGTAAATCTTCTATTTGAGAACTTTATTCACATAAGCACCCGCGCTGTTACCCTCCCTTATCACAGCTTGTAAACTTCAATGTGTGGTTAACCTTGAATAGGACTATGAACTGCATGGATGGTTTTAAGTGTGAGTCTTGACCGCGGCGTGTGACCACACAAAATCACGACATCAGCAACTTATTGGAGCTGACAACATGGAGCATTTGGAGGGCATTTGATTTGGCTGAAGTGGTGCTTAAGTGTGTAATGACTGGAACAAGCCTTTAAGTCTAAACATCAGTTCTGACAATGAATCTCTTTGATTGAGAATTAATCTGATGTTACAGTCAGCAGACATTATTTGCAATGGAACTAAATTGATTCATTGATTTTCTTCTGTTCTGTTTAGAATAGACTTGAACACTTTCTAAACACCTATGAATCTGGGGTCCAAACATGCAATTACTGAGAGGGTAAAAAGAGAGCAAAGAAAAAAAGAAAGACTGATTCTTTAATTTTCTAATTTGTAGCTCAGCTATCATAAATGTTCACCCACAAAATGAAAGGTTGCCGGCTGGATCTTCACAACTGGTAAGGTATAATGTTGTTATTGAAAGTCTACTGGACTGTATTTTGTGTACTGTTTTTACCTGTTTGTGTTTTATACTGGTCCTGGGACTGGGGTGTGTCCAGAGGCTGCTCATGTTGATGGTTGAGTTTTTCAATTTTCTGGGAAACTCTCTTTATCTCCCTCTCAACCAAATGTGCCAGTCCTTGCTGGTCCTTCCTGAAACTACAATACAAAACCCCACATAGTATATTGGTGGGTTTCATATGACATCACAATATTATATAGGTCAGATGGAGGGCAGCTAAATTTAATCCTGTTAAACTTAAGATTTTTACAAATATACAGGGACTGTTGTCTTCTTACGAATACAAATGATCAGGCTCAGTATTTATGTGTTTGCCTTTTGGATATTGCTCATTAAAATACCATATCATCGGTAGGGAAAACTGTCTGTTGCCCCACACCTTGTAGTATGGCACATTCTAGAATCTGAAAGCCTCCAACAGGTTGCATACATGTGACATTGGGCTGGATATTTAAGAATTCTATGTTGAAATAAGTTGTTTAACTGTCATTATTACAGATTTGTTGTACTGGTTTATGGTTACAACATTTGTGGATCATAGATTTTGGATATTTTCCCAAAAACTGTGCATCTCCCATACAGTTACATAGGCTTTGGCCCTCCACCTAAAACTGCGACATCATCAAATTCTGGAGCATGAATGCAACCTATAGGACTTTAATACATATAATATATAAAATATCGACCTCTGCAGCAGCAGGCTCAGGTCGTCTCTGGTTCCATCTCTGTCTCTGCTCAGCTTGTTCACCCGAGAGGTCAGATCTTTGAGTTGGAGTGCCAGGCTACGGAAACCATGACCTACAAACACATCATACCATGAGCAACTGCCAGTACAGTATAAGCACACAGATACATCCTTAAGTGCACATTCCCACTACTAAAACATTGTTAAACCTAGTAAACCATGTTTTCTTGTAGCTTGGAGATCCAGGGTTCATTTTGAACCAATAATAGCTGCCTCATTGATATTATCTGGTTATGTCACTCTGGATTTACTGTTTGGTCAGCTAAGAGTCAGATATATGCAGGTTTACATGCCCACAAGGACCTTACGCACTTAGCTAATGAAAGATTAAAGACACAGACTGGAGTTAGGTTCCTGTTACAACTTCACGCTGGTTGTGAGACAGGCTTATTAAGTTGTTCCGAGGATCCATTTCAGTGACGTGTGCAAAAGGCCCACTCAATGTTTGAATGGGTCTATTTACTCAAAGTCAGAATAATTCATACTTAGCCAATGTTTTCGACC